TATCAAAGTCAATCGACATAAACACACACACACACAGTACTGGCATGTACAGTTTAGATTATGAAATGGCTTATTTGTGTGAATACCTATGTTGTGCCATCAGAAATAAATTGCCGCTAAAATTTGAGAACGATACATTTCACTACAATATTGGCAATCCTTGGTCCATGTGACATAGACATAAAATCATACATGTACAATACCTCCACAGTATTTATTTGAAAAAAACTAGAGTACGCACACACACAATAGAAAAATCATATGTACATCTTGCATTTACACATCCTACATTAGAACTGTATATTCAAGTGAACATATTATTATAAAGATATTCATCACACTCCACTGATTCCATTTAGATCTGAATGAGTAAGCAATGTACAGGTGCAGTTCCATGCCTCTGTTCAGCTGCAGATACTACTGAGCAGCACAATTTTCAGCAAATGAAGCTCTGCATATTTTAATAACACTATATAAACCAAAGGTGGGCAAAGTGCTGCCTGTGGCCTGCCAGTGATATTTTTTGCAGCCCGCAAAAATTAATTACAAAACCTACGCGTGTGGCCCGCCATTTCGCTATTTGTTTGTTTACATTAGCGTTGTGTGGTATTGATTTACTTTCACGAAATCGCTATTATCTCAGCTTCCTTGTGCAAGATTGCGTAAATCTCCAAAAGTGAGTCATTTTCATTTTACCGTTACGGGCACCGATTGTGCCCGTAACTACTAACATGTTTGTAGTTCTTGTAGTGTTGACTACATGCCAATCTGATCACATACACACCCTCAACGAGCTTCGGAAAAGTGTTAAAATTTGCTAAAATGTCTGGCGGTGGCTGATACTATTTTTTCAAACCGCTGGCATGTTAACCAGCAATCTATATCGTTAGGACAGTATTAGGGCATACTGTAAGTTGCCACAGGCTGGTTACTGAAAAAACGAAGCTGAAATCCAACCAGCTCTGCCCCTTGGCCCTAGTTGGTCCCAATTTGTGTACCTCTATCCCCCACACCTTCTGCCATGACAATCCGGGATATGGTCCTACCAATGGTACAAATTTACTGTGTCAAGTTTGCAATATAAATAATTCCCTTGCTTGCTTCAGCTAGCTGGTACATAGTTTATAGTCAATCTGATGGCATATACAGTACTTAGAATCAATAGACTAGACTACTTTGCTTTTGATAGTTCAAATTCCAAAGTTGTTTTACCCAAATATGGACAGATTTCTAAAAAAATGGTTTTAAACTGTTTAGCTGGTCGATAGAGCTATAAATAAAGGCATAGATTCTTACTACACAGCTGTTGCCGAGTGTCAGCAACAGTGTCTAGCGATTCTAGGGAAATCAGGGCTTTATAAGGTTGTTGTACTCTCTGATGCACATTCCAAGGTAAAGCAGTTGCATGACAAATCATCATCATGTGTTGGCCACAACCCAGACAATTAACACTACAACTGACTGCAGAGATTGCAGATTTTGAAATTGCACAATCTATTTTTAGATGATGTGTCATGTCATCAATTCAGAATTGAAAGGCAGATGATTGCGGCATTTGTCTGTGGGCCAAGTCTGTTCTCACGGCCCAGCGCAGAGCCTGTCTTTTCTTGTCGGTGGGTACCTGGTATGAGTTAGGAACGTAAACACGAGGCTGGTTTTTTTGAAGAATTGGGTTGTCTTTATACATCATACGTTCCTGTGGAATGATATCAATTCAGTCAGTTAAACTAGTGTAACAGCAATAATAATTATAAAAATAAATATCAAAATAATGATAAAAATAATCAACATGGTTATTTTTATCAATAAGTTTTTGATCAACAAATTATACAATATCTGAGGGCAATACAGACAATAAATAACCCAAAAAAATACACATAATAATTGATAATTTTTATTCCCTTCTTTTTATGATACATGAATGATGTCTCAACAATGTGAAGGTGAAGGTAAAGTGAAAGTGATAATGTACATGAAATGAAGGACTAGAAGATCTCTTCCATAAGATAGTGCATTATGGCCCTCCAGAAAAAAAAACAAGAAAAAAAAAACAGAGGAATGCAACAATGGGATTCAAACCAGGAAAGCAAGGGATTTCCATGATTTGGGGCACACACACACAGTTGCTTGAATCTAGGCACATTTTAATATCATTTTAAAAGCATAGCTACAAACAATTTATCAAAATTTCTTACCCGTATGTTCCATCTGAGGTCTTTGCGGTTCTTCTCACCTGGAGCTTTGAATGAATGCCATTCTGATTGGTACATTTTGTGTCTGCAAAAAAAAAACAAAAAAAAACACACATTTAAAAGCTTAAGGCAGTGCTTTTAATACCTTGTTTGTGAACACAATATGCCCACCAGTAATAATGATTTTAAATTAATGAAAAATTGTTAATTGGCATGTTGGCACACTTGCTTTGTGAAATATATATTTTTTTTTAAAGTATATTTTTTTGCGGACGACAAGGGCAACACGGCATGATTAACAATGGAATAGTCCATACTCATTGGAGATGACCAGGCCTTTAAATATTAAAATACACTAAAAACAAAATTAAATTGTATAGTATTAGCCGATTTAAGATCATGTGCGATATTGCAACATGAATTCCCCAGATTCCAGTTCATATTCCAAATAAGCTTATATGAATGTTAGTCTGGCTGAACTCAACGGCTTTCTGTGGTTTGTGGTAAAGGATAACTCTTCAGTGTAAATACTTTTAGATAATTATAAGGACATTCGCTGACCACAACTACAATTTGTGGTATACAAAGTTAAACAAGTAGGAGTTTATTGTATTGCAGTCAATCTGATACTGACACCGACTCTACCGGGACGAGCAATAAACGAGCCACCATCCACTTAAACTCGATACATCTATAATATAATAGATTTGCTGTGTGCGCGATCATTGGCGGATCCAGTCATGGAGGGAGAAGGGAGAATAGGGTAGCTAGCTACCCCCTATCTTTCATTTGAAAAATCCTCAGATATAGCCCTCCGTGACCAAATACAAAGTAACCTTTGTTTTTTTTTAGGCCTACATAGGCCTATACTTTGTATTTTTTTCTTAAACATAGGTCTACGCCATATATTCAATTCCCATTCCACACACATTCAATCAAACCATTGAACTACACATTTTCAAGCATTTATAATTTACAAGTGATTAACTTTCATTAAAAACACAAGTTAGTTTTTATACTTTTTGCTACGATAATTTAAATGGTTTGAAAGACAACGGCTGAAGTTACAACATGACCAATAATTAAAAATTTAATAACGGTTTAACTATTTAATGTTTTATTATTTGAATTATTATTATTAGTTCAGCACCACAAACAGTATGTATAAGTTCTACTGTTTTCTCTACTCTCTCCGTTCCACGCGCCTCAGGATATTGGTTAAGTAACAATTATTGTTGTGTCTTCTTAATAATGTGACCATTATAAGTATAATAATAATAATAATAATAATAATAATAATAATTATAATAATAATAATAATAATAATAATAATAATAATTATAATAATAATAATAATAATAATAATAATAATAATAATAAGACATTTGTTAATGTGGGACCACAGGAAAGTGGTCTTTAATTGGAGGAGACCTGTAGTTGATAGCTTTTGACAGTAAGATCAAAGGGTGTAATGATGTCAAAGTCATCTGTGCATAGAAAAACACTTTTGTGTTCTTGTTTTATCTTAATTCTAATACATGGTTGTGCAGAGAATGAAAAATGGTTACAGATGAGTAAATCCTATAACTGAATACCTTGTGACAGGATCTGTCTTCCTACTGTGTCGTTTGAAATTACCTTGAACAGATGAGGGCCGGATAACTAAAAAAGAAAAATGCCATAAACCTTACTTGGTTTATTTGATCTGATTTAATTTTTTCAATTATGGTTTTTAAGATATGAAACAGAAACAACTGAATATGAAATGATCAATTCACAAAAGAGAATATTCGGGAAAAAGCTTAAATTACAAAAAAGAAAGTATAGCATTTCCATATGGGTCCCCTACATGAACTGACATGAAATGAACATAATCAAAATTTAACAATTAAGAACAACATTTTAACAATAGAGTACTTTTTAAAAAACATTGATAATAATAATAATTTTTCATCTAAAGACTATGCAATTAATTATTGATTAAATAAATATATTTTGTATACTCCATTTTGTGGAGTCAAAATATTTATATAAATTTAACAAATTGACATTATATAAGCAATATTCATTTCATTTTAGAAAATTTGTTATTAAAATGTATGACTTACATGATCTTGGTAAATGTGGTTTGTATACACCTACTTCATCGCCAGCTGGCCTGTGTGAATACTGAAAAATACAAAAATTACAACATAATTTATCGATACAGGACAACGTCCATTTTATGTTGATTTATGATTAACTTACAAAATCAATGATGATGTCATCGTTGAACAAATATAACGCCGAAAAAGGCTGATCTTTCAAATAATAAAGCATATTATTCTTAATAAAAACGTGTGTGTTAAAAAAAAGGGTAAAGGTAGAACAACCCACAACTCGCAGCGTCATTGTGCTGAATTGTGTATTGGCGTGGTCCATGACTACCTAGCAGCCGTAAAGAAGTGCTTAAAGCAACCACATGTTCACATCATTCCACAATAACAGGGGCTGAAATGAACCATAACAGAAGGGGTAACACCCTACTCTTCCGAAAGATGTAATGGGTTCTGTAAAAGTGCACAGGATTCAGAGATGTATACATTGGACCACCATTTTAAGTCCTTATCCGAGAAGACTTGGTTCTACCAACCCATCCCTGGGCGAGGGCGCCTCTACCTTACTGCTCGGCCACTCGACTTGTATTGTTTAGGGAAATTCCCAGGCTAGATGTGAATTTAAAAAAAAACAAATGCAACTAGACTACCCTGGAAATTTGAGCAGGGGTCATGAAACATGGGGCAGTATAGGTTGTTTTTTGGGGCAGTGTTTACTACCTCTTTGGGGAAATTCTATGTTGTTGATTCAATCAGGATTGTGCAGGGCGCATCCTAACTTTAAACTGTTGTGATTGATTGACTGATAAACTTATATTACTTTACTATACAGTATTCCACAATCATCAGAATGTCAAAAAACCATTAAGAAATTAAACCGCTGATTGCTTATTTGTCTTACTAGATCTCTTGATGAATATGGCCTCCTGGGTAATACATCATGGATAATGCTTGATGTATCTGTCTCACTTTTAGCATAGAAATCTGAGTCGTTGACTTGATCACTGAGAGGAAGTTGGGCCAGCCTCTCATTAATTGCTGACATTTCACCTTCATGAGAAAATTGAGAGAATCATTGAAAACAAAAGAATGACAGCTTCTGATATACACAAGTATCAGTACCATATTATGTTCACATATATTCACATGTTAATAAAACTGAGCCTGCATAAATTCTGTTATTCAAGTTGTCAAGTTAGCTAAAGTGTTCTTACACCTAAAGAGTTTAATTAAACATAATTTCCGGTAAGTTTTCTAACTGTCAGCAGTGGTCAGAGGTCAGTCAATAAAACTCTGATGCGATGTGGGTATCCGTTTTTTCGGAGTAATAAATCCAAACTTCATCTCCGGCCTATACGATGGCTGCAGAAGCAATATATTGATTGAATAAGTTGTAACTTTGTGGTTGAGGTGCTCTTCTTCCAAACCCACAGTACTGGGTTCCATCCTGGCAAATTATGTCATGATTTTAATTACAACCATGAAGTCTGAGTTGTGGCTTGATAGTTTCGAGCTTTGCATTCATTCCCAAGATTCTGTGTTTAATTCTAGTGAAAACCCCTAAAAAAATCTCATAAAGCAATCTTTTTAAAAAACAAATTGAGCTGGGTCACAATTGATAATCAGTGACATACCTGTATCACCTTCTGAAATGGACTCATGAAACACCTCAGCCTGTCCATTCCTTTTCCTAAGAAAAAAAAGAATCACAGATACTGTTTAGATAGCTACTGATGTTACAAAGACATGACATGCATAACATGCTCTATTTTTGCAATTTGTGTTTTCTGATTATTAATGTTATTATTATTATCTTTAGATAGTGATGTTTCTTTAGCTAGGCCTAGACTAGCCTAGCGATGCCATGTATGGTAGCATTGGTTGATGTCTCTTTTGGGCGTCCGTGTTTGTTTACATTAAGCAAAGCGGTTTTAATGTCTTTCACAAAATCGCGATTATACCAGTTACATTGAGCGAAATTGCGTAAATCTCCAAAAGTGAGTCATTTTCATTTTACTGTTACGGGTCAAAGATTGTGATTTGAATAAAGTGTTTGTTACCATTGTAAAGCTAAGATGTTTGTAGTTCTTATTAGCATCTATTACATGTCAATCTGATCACATACGCACTCTCAACGTGCTTTGGAAAAGTGTTTGAAAAGTCTGGTGGTTGCTAATACTATATTTTCAAACCCCTGGCAGTCAAGAGTGCTGAGGTATTAATGCTGGACTGTTGATCCTGGGCCCTGTGGGAGAGTAGTGTTCAACACTGAACAAGCCACCCAGGTTAAAGAAGAAATAAATAATAAATAATATGACTAACACTGTAATAGAGTCCACAAAGCTTTATTCACACTATCAAATGTTCCTTGACAAAAAATGGCTGTGTGTCATATTTAGTCATGATGTGCCTATATATGGTCATGATGTGATGTCACCATGACCATATTTAGGCATGTCACATGTTTGTCAAATAAAATAAAATGCACATATTCATATCATATTTTTTACAAAAATATTATGGTACAATTTTTTTCATTTAAAATAATTTTTGAGCAATTGCAGTGATAATATTGGGAAAGGATGAGATAGTAAATTTTAAAACATTATTTAAATAATTAACGCAAGTCTACATATTGTATTACAGTAAGACTTTCCTACAGTAGGTCAACTTTGCCTAACTCAAATAATTTCTAAGTCAATCTAATTTTACATGCCAAATTGTTGTGCTTTCCATTAATTACCAATCTGTAAGTCAAATTTTACCTAAGTCAAACAATTGTTTAATGCCATACTCAACTTAGGCAAGTTCAACTGTATTTAATCTCTTGTGAGCATCATTGGCACAATCTGTTATGTCACTTACCTTAGAACTTTTCGTACGACAGCTGGTCTCTTCGGAGGGTCCTTCAGGATACTCTTCGGTCGCACCTTTGGTCGGACAGCCATAGGAGCTGCTTCATCAGATGGCTGTAGTAAACTTGTTTCGTTTTCCTTGCCATACTGTGAATGGTACTCCTGTGAGAAAGAAAATCAATTATAAATGAAATGGATGCCAAACTTATGAAAAAAAAAATTGACAGATTTTTTTTTAACTGGTACTGGTATTGGGTATTTATATCGCGCCTTTCCCTTGCGGTTATGAAGCGCAAGCCAAGCCTCAGTTATTCAGGAAAACAATGGTAGGCATAAAATCAGTCATTATTCAGGAACCCCATGCATTAAGCGGGAGCGGCTCAACTCATTTGACTAAACTAGTGATAGCCACTGTTTGTGCGATGAACCGTGAGGATCGCTAGGTCTCCTGTTTAATTCCAATCGCTGCTCTTAATTGTATTTCAGCAGGAGGACTGAAATGTAAGTTACGGTAGCTCAGTCTTTTAGATGAGATGTTTAAACCGTTGGTCCTGTGTGCATTATGGCCCGGGTGCATGTTAAAGAGTGCAGTACATTCTTTGGAAGTGATTGCCTCCCGGTGTACTGCAAAACTCACCACCAGAAGGAGCCTAATGCAAAAAAGTCTTCCGACTTAATGAGATAACCTTGGTGTGATTCACACCAAAAAACACTCCTATCCTTCAAGGTTGCCTACATATAAATTTAGCAAAGCACAAAAGAATACTTTGTGAGGTGTCCTAAAAAAAAAAATCTTGTTTTACCAAACCATAAAAATTAGTTACTGATTATTTAGAGTGATGACATATGTTTTATTTTGGTGTTTGAATCATGTTCTACTTGAATACCTAGTTTAAGGAGTAGGCATTAAAGCTGAAAAAAAAAGGTCAATCGCATAGATGCTTTATGCGCTCTATAAATCCATATTTTATTATCAATACAAACATTTTCAAATTCATATGTCTGAAAACATAGTACTTTATTTTATGAAATTGCCTCTAAAGGTAAACTCATAAATTTTTTTGTTGGTTTTCCTATTAATTCTGCAAAACAGATTTACAAAGTGTGCATCAAAAACACAATAAACTTTGTTATCGTGAAATATATGTATTAAACACATCACTGAAAACGCAAATTTCATCAAAATGTTTTCTTTGAATACATCAAATTGGTGTACAACACAACTCATTTTGTTGAGGCACATTTTCAATTTGATTTTTTCTATTTTTAGCAAATAATAATATTTATCAGCTTTACAAAGTGTATAGAGGACTTTATCATTAATGTAATTAACAATGTCAATAAAAACAATAATTTTTTTTTATCCTTACAAAAAAACAATAATTACTCACTGTTGATGGGTTTTGATAATAACCATGGGTACTTGAATTGGACTCAAGTGGTTTCCTTGATGTAGAGGGATCTATAAATCCATCAGTATCTACCAGAGACAAATGAGGCCAAACAAAAACAATGGTTAGTTTCACGTCCAAGAAGTAAAAGTAATAAAATAGGTCTTTGTAACATCTTCTGGTGTTTATTTTTCCACCTATTCTTAGGCTTTCACAACAATCTTTCTGATCATCATTATTTTCATTTTTCATGGAAAAATGATAGATTTTTTTGAAAAAAAGTAAACAGTTCATTTTATCATGAGGCTCCAAAATTTAATGAGGGTTTAGGTGTGAAACTAGCAATTAATTTTATTTACCTAACAAAAAAAAAAAAAATAGTGGAAAGAAAATAGTGTAGTTTCAATTTTTGAATAAAGCTTCACTTACTTTTTGCAATTTGTATTATGCTCATTTCAACTAATTTCAAATATTATTTCTTAATTTGAAGATTTTAAAGATTTCTGAGCAAATACAGGTGTACCATCTGGTCACTGTCTTTAAGTAATAGCACCAATTTTGAATGTGGACCCACTTTTGCAATAAATGCTTGTGTAAGCTTGGAGAAGTAATTAATCATACTACATATTTTTTAACAAACATTTCTATTTCAAATTAATAAAAATGTGTGTATATAAATGCATTCAAAACCACTATAATTTAGCTGAAGTGTTTACCTGTAGTTGATGAAGAGGTATTTCTATATGACTGCTCATGTTCTACCAATTTCTCTAAATCTATATATAAGGAAAAAACAATGAACAACTTTGAATAAAAATACATGGTCAATGTACGAAATATGTACTAAACACACAGTAGTTATCATTTGAGTGGTATTTTCAAGTATTTTAGTTATGGTATATTTATGCTAGTATCTAAATGTCTGTAATTATTGAAGATGATGATGGGTCTTAGTGAAATATTGAGCTGCTAAAAGAGTGAATTATAGTATAAGACTTCAACACAAAATTACCATCATCATCACCACCATCATCATCATCATCATCATCATCATCATCACATTCTAAAGTTACCTCTCGCAAATTCTTTAAGTCTTGTAGGTGGTACATTTTGGTACCCCAATGCCTCCAGTTGTTCTCTAATATCATCTTCAGTGAAATGCAGTCCTTCCATCAACAAATACTGCAGAAAAGAAAAAAAAAACACCACACATCTAATTATTAGATATTGAACTAATGAGTATAGGCTTACCTATGCTGTTGAATTATTGCATTATCACTTCAGAGTTCCCGCAAGCCTAGTCTGATTGCCATGGGAGAACAGCCTAACCAGCTAGAGCATTTGCTTTAGTTTTTTTTTATATTTTCAATTTTTTTTAATTAAAGTAATTAGGTACCGTGTTGACATTGATTATTATTGTTAATTGCTTGGTTGGGCTTCAATAAATCCCTGTGCACTTTGTTTGTTTGGGTCTTTTAGCACTTGGCACTTTATGCTTCTTTTCACACATGGGAGAAATGGGTAAGTGGTGGGGTTTGCTTGCTACTGCGCCACTCTGCCTAGAGGCTAGCCTAGGCCTAGCTAGGCCCTACCTTTCTAGCTACTAGCTAGGACTAAATAATCGGTGCCCCTGGGCCCTGCTGGAATAGGCCCAAAAGGCGTACAAAAAAAACCGATTCTTCGTAAACCAACAATAACAATACAACAATGCTGACTTGAAAAAACTGTAAGTAGGCCATATTGTAAGCAGCTTAGCCTTACCCTGCCTGGCGTGCCGTGGATAGAGGGCCTAGTCTAGGGTTTAGCAGTACTCCCTCTAAATTAGCAGTACTCCCTCTACTACTAGGCTAGCCCATTCCCTCCCGGGCCTAACTCGCCTAGCCTAGGCCCTAGGCCTAGCTAGCTAGCTAGGCCCTACACAGACGGGTCACAGACAGCTAAAGGCCTAACCTAAATTAGTATTCAGTAGCCTAGCCTAGGAGAATTACCGCCAAGGGACAGGCTATTAAATCTTCATTTGGTACAAATTCAAATTACACAAAAAAGGGATTATAAATAACATAAATTACCTCACGATAGACTTCTCTTCTCTCCGAGCAACCAACCGTTTTGTTTTAATACGCCAATTTCAATGCTATTTCCATTGGTTCTTCGTATCTGAGCATGCGTATAAAAACTTTTGATGAAAACTTGACACTTGGATTTTTTAAGTCCGAGCTAAAACACAATTGCTTTACATTTTATAATAAATTAAGCTATTATCTTTCAACAGAAAATTAGATTGATCAAATAATTTCATTGCCTAGTTAGGCTTATGTCATCTAACTTACCATTTATACAAGTAGATTAAATCTAGATTGTAGGCCTGTTTAAAGAGATTTTTGTTACACCTTGATGTTTCGCGAAACTATTATTTTAAAGATCATCAGAGAGGAGAGCGAAAAAAATATATGGAATTATAAACTATTTAGTAAATAGTTTTGCCAAAAACACCTAGATGGTGGAGAAAATAAAAATAAAATGTTAGTGGTGAATGTAAACATTGAATATGGGTTGGTTAAATGCTTTTAAAGGCCTAGGAAAAGGCCTCATGTATCTTGTTTTTTGGAGATTCAATGGCAGCGGTGAATTTAATAAAAAGAAAGAAAAACTTTTTTTCTGAATTTCCTTTTTCTTTTCGTTGCGGCGGGTACGCTAATGAGCCAAAATAAAATTTTAATTTTATTCGAAATCACCATTACTGACGAGCGACGCGGCGTCGCTCAACAAGGTATAAAAAATCTCGCCTACCAACAAAATTTAAAATTCAATATTTGAGACCAACATTAATAATAATGCCAGACAGCGTCAATGAGCTTATTACATCATTAAAATCTAAAATATGGATTTACCGCTTTCTGCAGAACGTAACCAGGGATGGCACCAAGATCATAACTTTCCTCTCATGTTTTGCATAGATCTTTATTGCCCCCCCCCCCCCCCCCCCCCAAAAAAAAAAAAAAAAAGAAAAGAAAAAAAAGTTTATCACCCTATCTAGGCTGGAAAAGTGATAAGGGAGGCTTTTTATTTTTATTTTTTATTTTGCTAAAGCCATATATCACCCTTGGGTTTGTTTGCTGGTGCATTGATTTTCAAAGTTAATGATTGACATAATAAAAATAATCAACTAATTATTTATTTAAAAAATGAAAAAAAAAATAAAGAAAAATGTAATTTTTTTTTCCAATACTATATGAAACTGATCATTTTTTTAATCTTTTTTATTGGGCCTAATAATTTTTTAATTTTTTTACTAAAACGTCTGTAAAAAGCAGAAAAATTTTTCCAATGCGTTTTTGAATGGAAGTTCACAATGTCATGTCCGTTTTTTTTTTTTTTTAATGAACAGTCAAAACAAGGAGGTATAAAAATTTATACCTCCTTGGTCAAAATTTGTCCGTACGTAATCCGTACGTAAACCGTCCGCACGATCTGGTTGCTCAAAACAACCTTGGAAATATGTAATATTTTCACAATGGATGTTGCACGAATGTGTATTTAGTCATAATAGTTAACTTATATATTACTGTACCAGTTTAATAATAACCAGAAATGAATAACAGCATATCAAAATTTAAAATGTGTTGATTTGAATGACTGAATTATAATTGCATTACTGTTTTTAACAAATGTTAACTAAATATTATTTATATTCACAATGGTTCTTAACCGCCGACATTTTGATTCGTGGCAAGCATGAACTTTGTGCAAATAGAAAATAGCGCATAGAATAGCGTTTCTTTCTGGAGAGCTACAGCACCGCTGTAAACAATTAAACAATGGCAAAAGTTCATCTGAGACCACGAAGATGTTGCTGCCTTATAATTGTTGTCTTATTAGTTTTATTAATGATGAAAAGCATGTTGTTTACGTACGATTTGGGTACAGAGGATAAGCAGCGAAAGGTAAACTGTATGTATTGTATTTTTGTAGGCCTAGGGTATGTATGATGATGTGATGTGGACATGGTCGATCCGTGTGGGAGACTGTCCTAAATACACTAGACCTAGGGCTTAGCTAGGCTAGGCCTGGTCTAGCCTAGACTGAGCAGACCCTGGTCGACTAACTTTATTGTGAACTATAGAACCTAAGCTTGCGTAGTACATTACTTGAGTACTTGTCTTATATAAATATAAACAGTCCCTCCCTCATCGATAAAAACAAAAGCGAAATAAATAATCTATTGTCCCGATTTAAAAAAAAAAAAAAAAAAAACCGCCCTCCCTCATCAATTTAAAACAAAGAGTGATAATCTAATAATTTTTTCTATGTGCCCTAATCGTTCATTAATGGAAAGCACAACAATTCGGCATGTAAAATAAGATCGATTATTTGAGAAAAGGCAAAGTCGACTTAGGCAAGTTTTCTGTTATATAATTTAGCTGCAAGCATAGGCTTAGGCCCTACAACACGACAAAATAATATGTGTCAGAATTATATTATATAGTTTTTGGGGCCATATTTTGTGACAGCCAATCCTGCAAATCTTTAGTATTTCTTTGGCATGGATATTATCAGACAAGGAACCCCAACTGCATACTGTATTTTTGGCCTATTTGTCCAAAGGCTGTCAACCATAACATACCTGTTTTTAACAATGGTGCTGCATAATAATACACAATTCAATTCAATTTATTTCACTTGCAAAAATATGACAACAATTGGCGTAACAAAAAAAAAGTTTGTAATATGGATGTTATAAGACAATAATATGGATAGAAAAAAGATGTCTACAAGAAAACCATTTAGTGTACAAACTCATAAAATACCAACAAAAGATACGTAGAATCACTTTTGGTTTTTTGTTCTATAAGCTGGTGAGCTTACTTTGTCTTGACACTGGGTAAAAGAAATTTTACAAAAATTAGAAAACAGGAAGTAGTGAGATTGAGATGCAAGTTTTAAACTGGAATTTTTAAAAACAATTTTGACATTTCTCTACTGTACTTGTTTTATTTTGCGGTTTCTATTAAATTTTTATCATTATGTTTATTGAGAGCCACAGTAGAAATATGTTGCCAAATTCATTTTTTTCATTCAAAAAAATACAATAAATTGTTTAAATGTGATCATATTATTTCTTATTATAGAGTTGGCGAGATGAATTTCGAAATGAGCAATATCCCAATCGCAATCATGAGGGCGCTGGCATGAATCAAGGTGACGGCAAATTTAAAGAAACTGGTGCTGTTTTAAAAGACACTATAGGCAATTATGAACCACCACCCCAGCCCCCACGTGAGGGGCCTGGTGAGAATGGAGTACCTGTAAAAACCAGGCCAGAGGAGAAACCTATGGTAGAACAGAAAATCAAAGAATATGGATTTAACCAATATGTTAGTGACTTAATTTCTTTGGATAGGAACATTCCAGATTTAAGAAATGAACAGTAAGTAGGCCTAGTGAAGAAATGTATCCAGTTTGTTTTTATTTTGGTTTTTTTAACCATTCAGTTTCTCCTTTTTTTGCCCTCAATAAACTTAAATATTAGAAATTTGGGCCTACTGTATCATCAGCTTTATCAACTACAGGGTTCCATTGCTAAGTGAGCAGATGAATGTCCTATGGTGTTGTTTTGTCAGCATGTACTATGTTTTATTTCAGCTTTCTCTATTCTCAGTAGCACATTCAATTCGAAGGCATAGTTTTCATTATGGACATTAAATGCAAATTATTAGTAAATGCACATTGAAAGTGAGAAATACAAATTGCATACTGTAAAGAAAACCATTAAAAAATGTTGATACAGTAAAGAGATTCCAATGAAAGCGCATTCTTAATATTTAATGAGATACAGAGCATCCAATATTTATTAATAAAAATTGTAGCCATGTTAGTCTTCAATAATAGATCAGTGAAGCTGGGCACTCACTACAGTACGTCGCACGACGAATCCAAATACGTTTCCCTTTAGTGCTAGACGACATGACGCCGTCTGATGATTGTCAGTGGCAATCTGATCGGCATTAAAAACAATCTGCTGCACGCGCATCATGGCGCTGTGTTCTCCATAGAATCACGTCGGCCTATGACCGTCGGTCGCAATGACTGGCCGCCTTAAGTCTCCTGATGAAGTCCACTGTGCGGGCAAAAGCTAGAGAATAAATTTTATACAAATTAGTCTTTAAAGTGCTGCTGACATTTCTTTTATAAAATTTATTGAGAAATTCTGTCAGTATTGAGTAAGATACATTTTTGTGTTTTGTATGATCATTGTATAGCTCAATACTCTTCATGTTTTACCATGGCACCTATTGCCGAGCTGGTGATTTAATTAACTACTACAGTATCTTTGTGAAGTACCGTCTACTGTAATTTTACAGCAATAACAAGGCTCATTTACATAATTTGATCATAATAATAAATAATAGTTGGATTTGTATAGCGCATCATGTGAAAAAGCCTCTATGCGCTTTTTCAGGTCTTTTCACATTGCATAAATTTGTTAATGATTGTAAATGTAATTCTTAATTTTAAAGTTAAAGTGTGCATTATTTACCATTGTTAGGATCCCCCTCCCCCCACCAATGTGAGATTTGTTGGCTGCCTGGGAGGGGAGCCAGTGGCAGATCTAGCTATTTAAAATAGAGAAAGGTCCAGGTAGGGGCTTTAACAGATGGAGGGTCTATTCATAATTATGGCACCTTTAGATGGCTGAAAGGGCACTCTCACACCTAAATTTGAATTTTCCTTTTTTCTCCATTTTTAAGAGTAATTTTATAAAAATTTGAGGGGGAGATGGGGTGCGGTGCAGTCGGCTCTCCCTTGAATCTGCCACTGGGAGCCTGACATATTTTCCATTTAATATGTGGTAGTTTTACAACTAATTTCTGTACTTTGAAATATCTTGACTTTATTTACTTTACCTTTTTATTTTTTATGCTAAAATAATTTTGTACTAAAGATACCTATATGCAGAAAATGATAAAACAAATAGTTTTATATCATTTAACATTAAATTGTTCAGGTGACTCTTTGGTTTCTATAAGTAAACCAGATACAGTACTGCAATATTATTTTGTTTGTGTTGTAATTTCATACAGTACAGTACTGTATGCTATGCATTTGTAGGATCCCCGAAGCTTAGAAATACTGGGTTGGCGGCGGCTCTAGAATATATGTGCTAAGCTGTCCGACAGGAGGACTTGAGCTTGTAGGCCCAAGCTGGGAGAAGGGCTTTAGAGAGGGGGTTCCCCTCCCAAATGAGATTTTTTTCAGAATAGGAACCTCTGGATGGTTGGAAATGGACAAGCTCTGTCCGACGGGGGGCTTGATCTGTCCGGTGGGGGAATTAACCCAACCCTCCGAGATGCTACGTTTCTGTTATTTTTTTCGTTAAATATTTAGTTTCTTTATGGCCTTGCATGGCCCTTATGAAGAACACCCATGGGTGATTGAAGTGTCTCCATGTTTATTTATTCCAGCAATTAAATGCCAGTAAAACTTGCTTTGAGAGAACACTGAGACGTAACAACACCACTTAAAATATTTTAGCCTTGCATATTCTGATTATGAAATAGTGCTGATAATTTTGATCATCTTTTATGTGTCTGTTAAATTACAGGTGCAAGTATTGGCACTACCCAGAAAAGCTTCCAACGACCAGCGTGATACTTGTTTTTCATAACGAGGGATGGTCAACACTGCTACGTAATGTCCACAGTATAATGAACCGTACCCCACCCCAGCTACTACATGAGATCATATTAGTGGATGACTTTAGCACAAAAGGTGAGATTACTGTAGTTGTGTACAATATTACGACAAAAAAAAAATTAAAAAAATATTGTGTTGCAAATTGGCCCAGCTGGAATGGATGCAGGGGGAGGGGGTACAACAATGCGAATTGTATAAGAAAAATAATTGTTGTATTGTGTTGTTGATTTATTATTTTTGTCATTGAGAATATAGTACCAGTAGGATTTCAAAAGTATGAGAGTGAAATTGCCGGGCACCTTGAGGTCCATATTCTCAAAATGTTCTCACCTCGGCCCTGGTGCTAAAATGGTGTTGATTCTGACGCACCTCCTACTGCCAAATCCTGCATCCGCCCCGGTCTAGCCCTAGAGTAAGTGCCAACCATCAGCCTCCCTTGCATTTTGGTTGATAAAATGATTACTACAGTGCTAACATTTTGTGTTATGATATATTGTATTAAGAAAATGACAAAAAAAATTAACAAATAATTTGGAAATTAATTTGCTCATTTTGCAGTAACATACAAATTATTAACTAGAGCATAGAAATTTTTAAATTTAAAAAATGTGTACCCCTATGTTGGTACTGGATAATGATAATAAAAGTAATAAAACACTTACAGTGACTGAAGTGTATGTATCATTAGCTGTATAATTATGGCTAAACATTTTTTTATATAACATTAATTTCTATGTTCAAGTTAATAATTTGTATGTTACCTCAAAATGAGCAAGTTAATGTCAAAAATTATTTTTATGATTTTTTTTTTGGTATTTTGCATGGGACAATGCATCATTAATACTGTTAAATTAATTATTTAAAGCTTAAAAATTGGTATTTTGACATACAAGATTTGGTATCCTTGCTAAAACAATTTATATATTTGTTTTTAATCTGACCCTAGGCTTTTGGTTGTTTTAGTGTGATAGAGATACTTACCTGAGAGGTGCACGTTACAATTTAGTGAATTGTTAAAATATTATCATGTGTGGTACTGTGCATAAGCCTATCTGACTTGTATAACAGTATTCAATATATTAATATTGTTGTATTTTATTTAATCTATGAATGTTCATAATTAACTTCAGATCATCTGAAACGGCGACTGCAAGATTATATTAGTCTACCAAAATTTCAAAACAAAGTTAAAATAATACGCAATGAGAGGCGTGAAGGATTGATACGTACGCGTATAAACGGTGCCAAGTATGCAACTGGTGAAGTGCTGTTATGGTTGGACGCACATTGCGAAGTCGGCCACAATTGGCTCCCACCTTTGCTTACACCTATTGCTCAGAACAGGTAAGGTTTACGTAGAGTTATCAACAGTTACATATTGATTCCCTACCACATATGTTATAGGTTGTTAATACCGGTAGATAAAATTATTATATCTTCTTCCATATTCAGTTTAATATCATATAACAAATTTATTGTGTATTATGCAAGCCCCTTTGGCTGTGCCAGTGGGGATTCAAGGGGACATACAACACAACCACTCTCCCAGCCCATGCCTGTCCAGAAACCCTGGATCCCTGTCGAGGCAGAAGCCAATAATTTTGTCTGGGAGCACTTCATTGAAAAAGCATTTTACAGTCCAAGAGTGCCATTTCCAGGCACAATCAATCAACCAGTAATAATTGTATCTCCAAATTTCTTTGTAATTTTTATGTTTCATAATGATGTTTACATGTCTTTCTACTCAGAACTACAGTGGTGAACCCTATCATAGATGTCATTGACAACCAGGATTTTAAATTCTATGCACAAGGCTCTGGTGAACCAGATCGAGGTGGGTTTGACTGGAGTCTCTACTGGAAACACTTCAATCTTCCAGACTTTGAGAAGAAAAGGAGGAGGTACTCTACAGAGCCATGGAGGTATAGCATTTGAAAGCTAATATAAAGTAGTGGATGATTATATATATTTTGGCAAAATAATAGAATAGGATAAACATAATACAAAGAGATCAAGCAGGGGTGGTGCCAGTGGGGACTTCCAGACCCCCATCTGGAAGAGCTGCTCCCTATCGCTCATAGTCGGGCAAATCCTGGTGCCACCACTGAGATTAAGATTAATGATGTATACACATTTAGGTTTTACATTTTCTGATTGCAGGGACATATAAGAACATATTAACTACTATATAGATCTTGCTATTTGAAAAAAAAAATTCAACCTAAAAACGTATATTTATTTATAATAACATTTTTCCTTAATCTAATAATCAAAGGGGAGTCTGCTTAAAAACACTTCCCTTTGTTTTTTGGGTTTTTTTTGTTTTTTTTAAACTCTGTATTATAAGTCATATTAAACATCCAAGTAAAGTTTAGGTGAGAAAAATTGACTTACAGTAGTGCAATAAACATACATAATCATACACCAAATTAAATATATGCCACCACCACTGCTCATTTTTAAAGTATCTTGCATCCCAAAATATATTAATGGTGTTTTTTTTTTTTGACAGATCACCAGCCATGGCAGGGGGATTATTTGCGATGGATAGGAAGTACTTCTTTGAACTGGGTGCTTATGATGAGGGCCTGGAGATTTGGGGAGGGGAGAACTTTGAGCTGTCCTTCAAGATTTGGATGTGTGGTGGATCACTGCTGTGGGTTCCTTGCTCAAGGGTCGGTCATATCTATAGAATCATGGGACGTGTTCCCTACTCTGCCCCCAATGGAAGCATGTTGGTTATAGGTGAAAGGGTAAGGGTATTTTATTTATTATTTTGTTTTGTTTATTTGGTTTTTTTAAATTACTTATTTATTTATTATTTATTATTTATTTATATTATATTTACTTTTTTTTTCTGATGTGAAGCACATATTTCAGCTTTTCTGGCATTATGCACTATAGAAGTCTATCATTATTGCTGTCATCATTACCATCACTATATCATCATTATTTTTATTATTATTACTATTATTAGTTTCTCATATTATCCCGGTTATCAAAAAAGACCAGATGTATTGGTCTAGCCTGCACCTTGAATTTTTATATAGTAGCTATTCTATTCAAAGATAAAATAAATAATGCAATATTATTTAATTGGTAAAATTATTTAATGTATAACCTCTTTCATTTATTTGTTGTTATAATCTCCATTTTTTTCTCAATTATAAAAAGAACTTGCGAAGGGTTGTTGATGTCTGGTTCGATGATTATGCCAAGTATTTCTACCGCAGTAAGCCAGAGGCACTAATGGTTGATCCGGGAGACCTTTCTAAGCAGCTAAACTTCAGAAGAACTCATGACTGCAAGGACTTTGACTGGTTTATGAAGGAAATTGCACCAGATATCCCACTCAAGTTCCCTCTACCATCTGCTAATATTAAATGGGGTGAGGTAGGTTAATGCTTTTTTAAACATTTTGTTATTTCATGTTGGTAGTTCAAAGGTCAGTATGTGCTAGGAAAATGTGCTATAAGACATAATGGCCTGTATAACCAACCAATGCATGGCGTGACATCATTGTCATATGCATACACACCAATAAGAATATACATACAGTATTATTGTTCACTTTTTCCAACCACCAACTGCTTTGACTTCTTATCAGGTACGGCCTTTGAGCTCCAGATTATGCGTAGATTCTATGGGGAAGCGTGATGGTGGTCGAATCGGAATGTCTAGCTGTCATGGAGCTGGGGGTAACCAGCTGCTACGTGTTACAGAGGATGGACAGTTTCGGTTGCACGACCAATGCGCTTATGAAAAATCAGGAGAAGTGCATTTACGGAGATGTGAACAGCATACGAAGTACAGTTGGAAATTTTTAGAAGTAAGTATTGACTTTCATTTATGTACAAAATGGAGTATCAGAGTTCATTTCTTTAAGTGAAAATGTTGAACTTGGAGAAAAATGTTGTGCCTCATTTGTGTTTTTATTTCTTCAAAATGCTTCCGGAGAAATGCATGATGATTCTGACCGTCTGAAGTCCTATGGGTGTTCCTTTTCAACCTGATAATGAAAAATTAGCTGGCTTCTAGACTAATGCTTTGTCTACACTATCAAATTTCATCAAATAAGTGTCACATAAAATGTGATGGAACATAAGAGTTGAACACTTTCAACTTTTTTTTAATACAATTTGATATGTGATGTGGCATCATACTACCCATATATGGGCACATCACATTTTTTTGTCACATAAAATTTGATAGTGTAGACAAAGATTTACATAAACGACTTAAAGGCTTTATACATTATTGTTTTTTGTTTTCAGAACACAAATCAGTTGACGTTACAAGATAAAAACTTATGCCTTGATCATTCACCGTCTAAACACGATCTATTTATGAGTCGGTGCAAGAGCAACGTAGACACGCAGCGTTGGGAGATTTCTAGCAAAAATCTGCAACATCACTGAACACAACAAAAGAACCAGATTCACATTGACAAACCTTCTGCCTCAGCCACAGGTGAAAAGCTACTAGGATATGCACATGTGGGTTACAGATATATATCTGACTGGAAGAAAAATTTTCTTGAAGGCTGTAGAATTATAAAGCTCTTTTTAGAGCGCGGTGCAATAATAATTTTGAATTTATATCAGACATGAATATTATCACTAAGTACTAACTGGAAGTTCGTCTCATATTGTATGTATGTATGTATGTACATTGATGTATAAAGTACATTTTGTGCTTTACAAATCCAATTTATTATTGTTTGTCTACATTTACTGCTGAAGCAGTTTTTTTAGGAAACTCTGTTCACAGATAGTTTTCTACACGATCTTTCCAGCAATAATCACATAATATTGCCCTCCTGTAGTTTTATAACAAACAAATTAAATATGTATGTTTGTTTTCAGATATTTTTTCAAATTGTCTGTTTTTGGTTGTGTATAATTATGTTGGTTATATTTATTTCTGATGTATGTTGCATTATAAAATTTAATAATAATTTTTATACCCATCATCCTGGGCACTTTATAACCAATTTATAACCATTCTTAGGTAGCCACAGGTCATTTAAAAATTTACTTTCATGTATATATTTTTTCCATGTTGATTAATCTATTCAGGGCAATACAAAATAGAAGATATGAGTATTGGACAAGAGACCTCAAGAATAGTGTGCTGGTGGTCTACCAACTGTGCCACTTCTTTGAACTCCCTGTTTTTAAACACACCCACCTTTAAACTTCTGGTCAGATGGATAAGATTGTTTTCCAAATCCATATTATTATTACACCAGTATAATCAATGTTATTTCTCTATTGCAAAAGAAAATCAGTGAGTCTTAGATCTATTAGCTTACTATTTTTTTCCATATTTTGTTCCTCCTGTATTAAGCCCACTTCCACACCTTGTGTTGAAGGAGATGGGCTCCTGAGGTACTACGTTAACAAACTTAAAATTGAAATTTCAATCTTGTTTAAATTTCTAAGAAATAATGTAGATTAATTCAGTTTAACATGTTTTTAATAAATAAGTCATAATAAAGTATGGGCAAAAAATTTATAGATGTATATTTTAATTATGGGATTTATAAATTCATTGAGTCCGTAAATGTAAAGCAAATTACAATAATAAACTATATAATATATATTATCAATGCAGCAATGCATTGTAATTGAGAGTAAAATTTTGTTATAAAGAAATAATTATTAATCAGGTTTCGAAAGTGCCTCAATGAATTGTTAGTTGAATCCTTGAAGATATGTATTTTTATATTTAAAAAAAAAGGTTAAGTACGGGCATTGGTTAATGGAACTTTCCACTAAGCTCCGCCCAGAATGGTCCATTATCAACTTGTATTAATCAAGCTAGGGAAAAGAGATGAATGTTGTTGTATATTTTGAAATCTATTTATTGTGGGATAATAGCTTATTGATTGCAGCAGTAAAAGAGTACCAACATTTAATATATTGATTTATTATTACTAATACCTTTTTTTACACTAATGCATGCAACAGTTAGTAACAGGTTGTAACAACTTTGGTCACCCAAGGTTTTTTCTTCCTTTCACACACATGTGATATATTCGAAGAATGGCAGTTGGTCTTGATATCTAGGGTAGGCCTAGCGCGACATCATAATTTATTCTCCATTGACTGATAGCAGTATGAATGCATGTGTACTGAATAACTTAGGACATTTTGAAAGGGGAAAAAAGTAGTTTTTCTTCAGTGGTATCACACTACACAAACCTGTTTACAACTTGTTACTTCAAAAATATTGACAATCCATATTAATATTTAGTAGATTTTCTATCTTGTGGATCACATATCTAAAATGATTTCATGCTTTGTTGAAGATTTGTTGGCAGCTGCTGGAATGGAAAAGTGGCCATTTCCCCACCCTTGGATCCACCACTGGTGGTTATGCACTAAAAGTATTATATAATATAGTTTTATATCTATAGCCATTAATTTTGTTTCTATTCAAAATAAATGTACTAAGAAATATATTTAAATAACAAAAATTTGTAAGGAAAAAATTATAACTGAAGAACACAAAGAAAATGGAATAACTTAATTTCTTACCTAGATAAATAAGTGGGAATGCAGAAGATGTGTAATACCAAATATTAATGTTTTGCAACATAAGTGCCTTAGGTCGTTGAGAGGTCAAGTTATTCTTTTTTGTTTCTATGTATAGCATGCAACCAGAAAGGTGCAAATATGCAATTTGCATACACATTATACATTGTTACTGTAAAGGTGTAAGTTATATATCTAGTCAATATAATTTATTGACTGTCTATCAGTGATTGATAATTATATTTAAACATATCAATAATATTTATATTGTTGTTTGTAAATATTGGTGCCATGGTACTTAAATGTTTTATAAGGTTGTTTTCTGGCTTAGGTAAATCATTTTATATCATGTAAATCTATTTAAAAATTGATTTTTTTCACAGTAATATGATGGGGGCCAGTGGTTTTGAAAATAAGAAAGTGCTGTGTTGTGAACAACCTCCTTTCCGCTAAACCCCATCCCTTAAATATTGTCACCTAAGTCCCACAAATCTATAACGTAAATCTGTGTGTTGGTGAACGGTGTGTGACAGTGCTTGTAGGACTTGGAAGTATTCCTGAGTCTGTTCTGATTGGTCATTTGTTAAGTTTGATTGACATCCCCTGGAAAGGTTCATTAAAATCTAATGAAGCTTGGAAGGCTAAGTGTTGGAATCAGTTTCTGAATGTTGTTACTGTATATCAGCCAGTTATTTCATTTGCTGTACTCACTTTAATAACATTTTAATTATTCTCCAATTGTTTTTATATCTTACCTAATATTTATATATATTATTTATGTTCAAATGCTAGATTCCCTTTTGCCCTGAGCATCCTTTTTTGATTAGAATCCTCTGAGCATTTTTTTGCTCAAAATCTACTTAAAATCATATTTTGCTCAGAAGCATTATGCTCCAAAACATCCTGATCCCCATTTGTATTTAGTTAGTGTGCATTTTCAAGCATTGTACAATAAAGTAACAATACGATATTATTAGACACATACTGTAAATTATTTCTACAGTATAACAAATCAAGTGATGAAAAACCAATGTCTTTCTTAAAGCTGGTTTTCCATTAGGCATACTTTATTCGCAAAAATAAAAAGCGTTAATTCACTTCCTGAGCTTTGATTGGTTGCGTATTTTTTTCAAACTAATTAATCACTGAAGGTAAAAACTCCATTAGAAATGTGAATGCGCATGGGCTTTCGATTCACGCAAATAAATTCACCTAGGGGAAAACAGGCTAAAGTTGTGGACAGTCTTTAAAATGTGGAGCTACGGTCATCATGTTTTTAAAATTATCATCAAATAATATTGATACAGTACATTCTATATTTTGGGGTTGATTTTTAATTTTTTCATTTACTAATATGTATGTTTAAATAATAAAAATACATCTATTGCCCTCCTCTATCTTTTTTGATTTTGTTTTTTGTGGTTCTGGCTGAAAGGAATTAATAAAAATAAAAATAAATTAAAACTACCCTGTGCGGAAGTTGTCTACGTGAGTAATTTAAAGGATACTCTTTGAGGTCTAAAATTATCTCCAAAATTGTGCCTTAAATTTAAAATGGTAGTACATTAAGTACAGTATTACAAAATAATTTCAGCTATTATGGCATAAATTTGCTTGTACAGTATACATGGGAACAGTGTTGTTACATTTTATAAATTATTTTTTTTTGTCTTCATATATTGATGAATTTTATCTTTTTAATGTCCTACCTACACAATTTATTTACAATAAATTCTATAAAAAAAATTGCGAGACTAACTGTATTTACCAATTTGTCTTTTTAGTTGTTGGTGTAGACTAGAAATAGATAAAAGTAAAAGCAGAATGTGGTGTGTGTGTGTGTGTGTTCAGTGGCGTAACAATTATGTGCTCTCGTACGGCAGCCCCAGCGTTACACCACTGTGTGTTTTTACGAAGAGGTTTGCATTTCAAACTTTGTATTTTATTTTCCTTATTACTGCTATTAACCATAATACAGTAAGTGGTATATGGCCTTAACAGCAGTGAATAGGTAGATGCAAGCAACTGATGCAACATATTAAATTGATTATTATTATTGTTTTATTTTTATTAATTATATATAAATTCATTATTATTACTTTTTATTGTTAAATTATTGTTATTAAAATATTATTATTGCTATTATTATTGTGCATATTGTTAGGTATAGGCTGATGTATTATTACAATAACTCAATTTACTAGAACAATTCTTATACAGTATTTGTTTATTTACATTTTTGTGAACTTTGAATGATACAGACAGATAATTATTAAATAAAAAGTTGATTGACACTTTAATTTCATGTTGATGTTTAATTTTGCCTGTAGCCTACGACAGTGTGGTGGTGATGATTGTTAATTGCAGTACAGTATAATAATGGTTACAAAACAATTTAATTAAACAATATAGAAATGTCAAAATCCTCTGATTCCCTTCGGAGACTGGGTATTTGTTTAAAAAAAAAGTCACAGGTCTTAATGCCAACATTTCTTTCGTGTATGTAATTGCATATACATGATTAAAGCCTACATAGAAATACTGTACTGTATACGCAATAACAAATACAAAACACAAACATTGAAGTGTTGCATGACCATTGTGAAATGTACCACCTCTTTTCATCATTATTACTTAGTCAAGATTTTTATACTACCTAATGAAGATTAACAATCTTGCTTAACAATAATAGCAACATTGTAATACATTACAGTATAATTATAAAAATAAGAATAAGGATAATAATATTAATGATTATAACATTTTTAATAACAATACAGTAATAGCAATGATAACAATAATATACAAATATTACAATAATAATAAAATAATAATAATTATTATTATTATAGTAATAATAAAAAGAGGAGTGGTAAAACATGTAATTTTAGTATGCAAAAACGGTGTATGTGCTTAACAAATATTCGGCCTATACAATAACAATAATATAATACATATAAACATAGTTTCCAACCGCATCGTGCGGGACGGTCCCGCATTTCAAAGTGATTTTGGATAAAACGCATGTGTTTTGCAGAAACACAGGCGTGATCCTAAATTTGTCTGTGCGTGATAACGATTTATCACAAATTCAGGGGAAAATATATTTAAAATTTGAAGAAATTGGTTGTATTAAAACTATAAAAAGTGATGCAGTAACTTGAGTCATTAGAGAGTACAGTATTTCCTTCAAGGCCCTACTTATTTCACTAATGAGTTACTAAAAATTGATCAGTAATGAAATGTACGCCTACATAGTTCGGGTGCTATTAAACATAGGCCTACATTGAAACTCAAATTGACTTTATTAATAATATTTTTGCTTATGTACCTGTATTATCAACAAACACTCCCTGAAATCGTTTTAAAACAGCTTAAAAATGCTCAGATCGTCGGAGGTGTCAGATCGTCGGAGGGGGGGGGGGGGAGGTATAGTCACTCACGCATTTCAAATCTCTCAGGTTGGTAACTATGAATAAACAATCAACAAACTACCGGGTTTCTGGGTTAATTTGCAAGGTACTACATGGCTCAACTATTTTTTACTTAGGGGTTAATTTAAAAATCGCACACAAATCATACGACGTCACTGACAACGCCCGGAACGGCAACTCGAATTTGAGATTAATTTTTCGAATAAAGTTATACTAAATAACCTCTAATGACGAACTATTGTCTTCAGTTTTCTTTGTTAGTCATCCAACTGTCATTTTATCTAATTTGTTTTCGGTGATATTACCATTCTCAATAAACTATAAAACACACACATAACAACGTCACGTTAGATCGATCGGTGGGACGCCCTGGTGACGCCGGTAGGGTCAATGTTCGTCGGAAGGTATCAAGATGATAAACAGTTTCATTGGACTAAATTCTTGCTTATGTTAACCATGCTTTCCTAAGATTATACTGACATTGGTTTCAAATGAAATTACTGACAACTTTGGTTTGTATCAATGTTTTATAAGTACATAAAAACTATGTCACAAATACGTATGCAAAATGCACAGGGACACCACGCTGTTTTTGTATTTTTCTTGAAATTTGTACGCCTGATCACCATCATCATACACAGTATAATAGATTAAAGTAAGATGTTTCAAATGATATAAAAATGTATGCAAACATGCCTTTGGAACAGTTTTTTTTTTTTTTAGTTTTATTTACCTTAACGTCGACTCCGTCTTAGAAAGCACCAGGATTAATCACACCAGGATTAATCACCACGCTGTTTTTGTATTTTTCTTTAAATCTGTATGCCTAATCACCATCATCATACACAGTATAATAGATTCAAGTAAGATGTTTCAAATGAAAATTCATCGTAGCCATTAAAAACTATGTCACAAATATGCTTATGCAAAATGCACAGGGACACTTATCAATAAGGTCCCGGCGTCAATCCTTGAATCGGGACGGTACGTACCGGTATACAACTTTACCGCTTGAGTTCACGAATAACACATGACATTAAAGATAATTATTTGTCCCGAATTATAATTTGTATATTTAATGTATTACTAGAAATAGGTCCCTGCATTCAACAATTATGTGGATTTGCATTGTACTGTTTACTATCAACTATTGCCCCGGCGTCACAAATTTGGATCAAGACGGCTTCCTGATTTCACGACGTGCACATGACAATCGGGACGCATACGTACCTCTCTTATTGTGTGTTAACATTTGGAACGTTTTACCTTCCTATCATGCACGATAATGTTTTCTTCCTATTTACTATTTGTCTATGAATGAAATAATAATAATAGTTCCGTGCATTTTAGAATTCTGAGAATTTTCATCGTAATTGTTATTTTTTTTAAAGAAACATCGTACCGACGTCATTTAGTTTTCTACACTAATTTAAGTGTATGGGTAAACTTGCAGGGTCTTTGTCTAATTATTAAATTTATATCACCATAAGCTATAAAAATGTGTTAAGCATGAATCTGTACTTACATCAGTGGCGTACCCTCCCCACCCTACCACGAAGAATCATGATCAAGTATTAAAAAATCACCTAAAATCACCTTATTTTGCGAATTAGCGCCCCTCAACTGATCATCGAGCCCCTACTTCACCTTCGCCCCTCCCCACCCCCACCAGCGATTTGTTTGAAGTTCACCGGATTTACATGGCAGTATAATTTTAATCATTTTCTTTTATGGTATTGTAAATTGAAATGAATTTATTATTTCATCTCATATTACTAGAAAATTCCACACTGGATCAGATTTGTCATTGCATGCCACTGATTTGAGTTTCCTTGTAATTAATTGCCATGTAATTTTTTTTCTTTTCTTGTCATTTGTATTGGGTTTTTTTGTTTTTTGTTTTTTTTTTTACACTTTTGTACAGTATTGTATTTTCTTGCCAAAAGGCATAAAATAAAAATGCTATGAATGAAAGAGTGCCTGTAATTAACATCTCTTTTGTCAGTCAACCTCATGATGAATCTGGCATTAGATGGGCTATAATAGTCACAATAAATTTAATCCCATAAGAACAGTCTTATTTTATTAGTACAGTATTGTGTTACGATACCTGGATGAATAAACACATTTACAAATATTTATACAAAAAATATAAGGAAAAAAAGATACTGACTTTTTTAACAATCATTTAATAACTATAAATTTTATTAGCAATGACAATATCTGTGTATTTACAGCATTTGATAAACAATATTATATGTCCTGTATGAGTACAACAAATGATCAAATAAGCATCTTTTTCTTGAATAATAAATTTTATTCCTAACCGCCGCTCCCAAAGCACTGTGCTGCTTTAGGATACACTATATGTTGCTGTATTATTACACAGGTGGGCAAGGTGCGGCCCAGCAGTGATTTTATTACAGCCCGCGAAAAAAATTAAAAACCCCATATGTGTGGCCCGCTAAACATTTTGACTATAAAACACCTTATTTTTTACGGCCCGACACTGATCATCTGTAAAAAGTAATGTTAAACCTGAGAATAAAGTGGTATAAAAGCAGTGCATGAAGGTTTTTTGGGAGCACACTCTAAACATCGAAGTTTAAGTGCGGCCTTCGGTGTTAAAATAATAAAAATTCACTTTGGCCCTCCAACCGATATTTATGCCCACCCCTGCTGTATTATATTTGGACAATCATCACAGCACTTCAAGAATGCATATTATTCAATTCAATGTTTATATTTCATGCCATCTGGATAATATTTAACAACTGATTTCTTAAAATAATACATGAACTAACTTTGTACCAAGACGCATGGGTAAATTTACAACACATGATACCATTTAAAAAGATCACCCAAATAATTTGTAATAAGCCCTTCTCTAAATATCAGTATTTTTGTAAAATAAACACTGCACTGAAGCCACCAAACAATTTATTATTTCTACTGCACATGTTTCATCAATTTTTATTTCATATTTATTTAACTTGTGTACATAATTGTTTGGCATTGCATGATTTTCAAAACATTGATGTTGATTTAAAATATGCTTGAAAAGGCTGTTATTAATGGAATTTAATTTAGGGTCAGTAAACGTTTACTTAAAAAGAACTATGACAACCATGAAAAAATGTTTTTAACACAGAAAGCATAAATAACTTGATTGTTAATCCTAAGCTTTTTTTTGGGGGGGGGAGGGTTAGGTCACATGGTAATAATATTTCCAATTGGAGTAAAGAGTCTAGCATTTGGTGGAATCACTTCACCAAAGTAAATTATCAATCCATTGAATGCTATCAGCAGTAAATTTAATTTAATCACTTAATTAGCAAGATAAGAATTTATATTGATATCAAATTGATTACTGCTATATAAATTCTAATATCAAATAGAATATGCTAAAACCAAAACTATACAAAAACAATAAAATCATATTTACATATCATTTATGTTGTAATTCCATATAAATATTTAATTGAGATAGAGTATTTTAGAAATAGGGCGTTTGCATTTAGGAAGAACTATCCTGCATTATTTTATCAATGTTTTATTATTGGCTAGCCTCTAGGCTGTATTTCTTTAATTTGTTTAAATTTACATTACAGTATGTATTTTGGACAGGGGGTTTAGAGGATACCCACATCTTGTTTTGGACTCTGCATTTGGGAACATGTATCCAGAATTTGGCAACAGTAGGATCTTGAATGTAAAAACATATCCTGCATTTTGAATTCGGGATTCTACAGTATGGTACAATTGGAATTTGGGAAAAAGTATCCTTCAGATCCTATGGGAACAATAATTCCACATATGGTAATAGGGATCCTACGCTTTCTGAAACATAATCCCAAGATTGAGAACGCAGATCCAACAATAAATGTTGGATTATGCAAATCGACTGGTCTACATTGATTCAACCTTGTCTGCAAAAGCTTGAACTTGTTTTGCGATTTCTGCCGTCATTTGTTCCTTAGAAGCGTTTGGATTCTTCTTGACATAGTCCGCTATGCTCAAAACCGTCTCATTCTAAAGATAATTTAAAAATGAAAGAAGCACATTAATAATATTTGACAATTATGAATTTTACAACAAGGAAATTGAGAGATTCATAATTGTCATAGCTATCCACATACTGTAGCCAATGATTATTTTATTACAGAATATTATCTTAATCATGTTAAATTTTTATATTTATGCCATTTTGTACAGTATTTTTTTATGTACTTTCTTACACATTTTACTTTTTCATTGCATCAAACCCAATAATTTCCTTTTCACATGTTTGAATTATGACAATAAAGTTTATCTTGTCTTATCTTATTTCTGTTACTGTAATTTAATTAATTAACCACAAGAGGACACAGTCTGCAATGTGATTCCATACAGCATATTTTATAGGCCTACATACAGTACAACAAATATACACAATAAGAAGAGCTTAGTTTTTAATGGTAAAAAAATGTGTTACGTGTGGACTGAGTTATACCTCCATGAATAAAGTGATCACCTTCATGAATTCTCATATGGTATCCAATTTTTATCTATAGGTATTAGAGTGAATAGCTTTTAATTAACACCAGAGATATTCCAAATCCTTGAACTCAAAATTCAGGAGACTGGACATGTGTTGGTGAAGTACGCCTCTCCAGAAATGTTGGAAAATGTAAGTTTTTTTTTGTGTACTTATTCTGATTTTTTAGAGTGTCAGCAACATTAGAAAGTCTTTTGTACATCACCATCATTGACAAGGTCAGCGGACAAAAAAGCCACTAACTTTATAGTTGTTTATGGTATTTTTGGGTTGTCTTCTGAAAATACTGTATGAGAGTATTTGACAAATTGACATACCCGGCAGGCATCGATTTCATCTTCTGAGGAGACCCTGGAATATACTTCATACCAGACTCGTAGCGACGTCACTAATTTATATAAACTACCTTCATCTTCCCTTTTGTTTAGCCATAGTAAGAGAGCAAGCTACGGAGGAGAAATAAATCAATCATGTAAGCTATAGACTATTCTGTAGTACAACAGTTGTACGGGACAGTAGGCCTATAGCAGTGCACACCATTACACTCTGTTGACGTTAAAAATACATTGTATTTACGAGATGTGTGTGAATACTGAACGTTCATTCACCAACATTTTTATTACATTAAAGACTGACAGAAAGTGATGATGTCATGACATT